TTCCTCTAAAAGAATTATTCTGACTTTATTTATCACTTCACAAAGTTTTTTCACCTGGAAATTTTCTTGAGGTGATGTATCACTTAAATATCTCTGATGAAAAGCTTTGGGTCTTGTTCCAGTCCCCAGAGAAGCCTACTAGAAACACTCCACTTGACAATTATTTTCCATTGACATCCATTTTTTCAATCTGTCAGTTGGCTGGTTCGTTAATGTCTAACCAAAACCGGAGTCTCTTACATTTATACAATTACTGCTAACAATGAAACTTGAAATCTCATCAAAAAATGAAATTACTTTTGTCTGAAACGACATATTTTCTGTAGACTCAAGCTGACTGGAATTATTATACCTTAATTCTTTGACAACTGAATTTGCTATCAGCTTTTTCACAAGCTTTCTTTTATTAAAATGTTAGTGGTCTGTGATAGTCTGGGTTGCTTCATTTCTGTTTCTCGCCATGCTGTGTAATATACCGACACTTCCTGAATTTCCGTTCTGTCAAGAGTAAGCTTTACTAGGAGGCTACGTGCTCAGATGGTGGAAATAATTTGTGTATGCTGATAAACAAATGCTGTCCCTTGAAGTTCTTTCCTTGTATGAATGTCTGTATTACACGTGTATTACACATCTGTACGGATGACAAGCAATATTCCATTATTGCTTTACGAAAAAAAAAGTCAGCTAGTTTCTTCTCCCAAATTAGAAATATTAGTTTAAATATTTGCTGTTGTTTTACTGTTTTTATCAGCAACACCTTGTAATATGTCTGCACCATTACTATGATTTATTTTGTTACTAGAATTCATTTAATCCTCATATTGAAAGGAGCCATATTAGGTATAGAATCTTCTTTGCACCTTCACCTCTTGACTTCTATTTTTTGAGTTTGGAATGTACAATTTACATTAATTGCATTTACTTTCATTTATTTTCCATTTCCTTTTTTATTGATATTTCATAAATCAACATTGATTTTTTAGCAAATATAATAAATATTAGCCAAAGCTGTTTTGATTCTTGAGTATGGAACCACACTTTTTTGTGACCAAAAATTGCTTTTCCAATTTACTTTCATGTATACTTTTCCAATTTACTTTCATGTATTTCTATCTTAACTTTTCCTTCAAGTCAACCTCCCTCATAATTTATCCTTAGCTTTGTGGAATAAACTTGAATACTTGTTATTAAACTTGAATATATGTTATTAATTGAGACAGTGGATGGTGCCTAATATAAAAGAGACATCTTGAGAGATTTTTTCTGAGCCATCTGCACATTTTTGATTATAACTCTCCAGTCATGTAGACTCCATCAGCTCTTGATAATCCAAATTTAACCAAATCCATGTTAGTGTCACCCAGATTCACAACATAACAATGCTTTAGGAATATATTGGATAGAAAATAACTTATAATAGTCTGCCAGAAAAAAGTTATAGTCCTATCTAAAAGGGCTTATTCCTTTTATACATAATTCGGTGTGAGATGATCCATGAACTATAGAATAGGCAAATCTTTAGCAAACATCTCATCTGCAGTCTGATTTGGAAAGTCATGACAGAAATACTGTGACTGCTGTCCATGCAGTGTGCAAATAAAAAGGTGAGATGTCCATGTATTTTGCATGTAAACTTTGCACTATTCTCTGACTTAAATTTTTAAAGTCAGTAATACTGACAGTAATCAGCAGAATAAAGCAGATCACCCCTTTATTTTAAAATTCAGTAGCAAGAAGTACCTCACTTACTTGTGACACTCTTAATCTCTTCCTTTTTTTATGGGAAGTGTGGATATACAGGTGATTTTTGTTGAAAATAGAGACAGTTTAATGGATTTAAGCTTGCAAATTTTCTTCTGCCACCATAGGCCGAAAATGTTGTAGTAAGGTGTAATTCCTCAGTTTAGATTTGGACTTCTAGGGCTTGAACATGATATGGTAGAGTATTTTGCATTTGTTGCTACAAAAGACTGCAGTTAGTATTTGTTTTTCCCTCTTTTTTTGTTTATTAAGCTGAGTACACCTCTAACATTGCATATACGTAACATGTACGAAAATTATTCCTTTGAAATAAATTAGATTTTATCACTCTATCTGTAATAACTGCGGGGCTGTTTTCATCACTGATTTTTCATCACTTTAAATAATTCACTATTTAAGGATACAGTGTATATAAAATGCAACACGTAAAGAATGGTAAGCATTTTGCACTCTGTACAGATATAATAACTCCACAAGCAACAAGGCAGGAAATAATCAGACCAGTTTATTTTTAATGGACTTCTTACTTTTAAGAGAACTGAAACTAGGCTAGCTTCCCAACTGATCACAATTTTTGGCACAGTGATAGAGTCACAAAATGTTAAGGGGTTAGAAGGAAACTTTGAGATCACCGAGTCCCAACTCCCCTGCCATGGCCAGGAAAACCCGAGAAGAAGTGGCCTGAAGCAGAAAGCAGTGCTTAAGACAAATAAGCAAAAAAAAGCCCATAGTACCACCAGAGCTCCTGTTCTGTTTTAAGGAAAACAACACTTATGTTTATGGAGGGCTTCTTATCAGAACAACTTGTGTTTGAAATATGTCTTAAATGGAAGACATTAGGATATGAAGAGTTTAAACGTCTCATTCATTGTTGTACATCCCAGCAAGAGTGGGTTTGCAGCTCATGTCCCCGAGAAGCATTGAAGACAGTGAGATAATTAAAAAACTAATCAGAAAGATTTTTACATATTTTACATATATCCACCGGTTTTGATTCACTGCAGTGGAATGTAAAGAAAATAAATCATGACCTCTGTGGTTTTTTCCTGCATTTAAATGTAAAGCTGAATTTAGAGAAATGGAGTTGAGCAATTTGTTTTAGCAAAATGGTCTCAAGACAACCCAAACCATCCAAGCAAAACATACAGAAACTGGATATCCTTACTGATGAGTTTGGTATTGGTATTTAATTTCAAATTGCTGATAAGGAAATCATTCCATCACTTCAGTAACTAGAAATGTAAAAATCAAATGTTAATGCAAATGGAAAGAAAATATTAGTTTTATTTTTAAGTCCAGTTATGTGTGATCTCAGAGTTTAATTACCTTCTCATCAGCAACAAGTAACTGTTGCCATTGACTACATACTATTTCACAAAATTTCTTCTTGACAAGAGGAAACTAAACAAGAAGAATAATTTTTAATTCAACATAGCAGTCACTCAGTATAATCTAGTTGGTAACCCCATTGCTATTTCTTCTAAATTCCATTGTTAAGAGTATTGTATATGAAGAAAAAATACTTTCAGCAACATTTAATAAATTTTAATATGTTTTATCATAACCAAATATAACTGCAGTAATATATTTTCTGTTCATACGGCATAATAGGTACAAACTACACATGAAGATGAAGAGATGTACATTAGACAGTGTTAAATTAGAGAGAATGTTAAATTATACCTACATCATGATAAGAAAGGCCTTATCGTTATCAAACCTTATGTATTATTTGAAAAAGATGTAGCAATCTGAAATGCAGAAACAACATATTGGACAAGATTAAAATAACTACACAACTATAAGATGGAAAAATAAGAAAAATCGTATTTCATTTCATATTCAAATTATAGCCTTGAAAATTGATAATAAAAAATATTTATTCTTATTACTTCTGAACTAAGTTATATGATTCTATTTGGGGTTTTTTCCACATTAGATCATTTGGGTTTCTTTTATCATTTCTCACCTAAACACTGCAAACTTAGAAAGCGCTAAATTAATATTCTTTATGTAGTGTTGCACATGTCATAAGACAATATTATTTTACAATGTCAAAGATGTTTGCACCATTTGGAGCACATCTATCACCAAAACTCAATTAAAGAGTGCCTTTCTATCTTCAGCTAAAACAAACTGTTTACTTATATTTGCTCAGTGTTTACTTCACAAGAGGTAGAAGACCCAAATACAACAGAAAAATAGATGTCTTGGGATATAGCACAGGTCAAAAAATTTAACCCAAGGAAGAAGGTCTAATCTTTTGGTTGCAAGAGAAGACTTTTTTCCCTTTGCCAAGTAAAAGGCAGCATTACAATGTTATTCATACCTCACGTGGTGTCCTAACAATTCCTCTATTCAAGCTGAAAGGGCTGTATTCCCTTTGTTGCAAAGTATTAAATTTGTCCCTTGAGATTAGTGTGTAGGCAGTTTTAAAGGATGAAACAGGATTAGATAAGGTTTCTTACCAAGAAAGAGTTCTGAAACTGTGCTGCAAAAACCTCTTCTGTTACATGTACTGAAAAAAATCTTTTGTTTTTACCCTTTGAATCACAAGTCAAATTTTTTAAATTATTAGTTGACAAAATGTTTCTTTATGGGTTTTATGAAAGGCAACTGAAGTATACACGTGGGGAAAATGACACTTGCTTTAATTGTATCTGATTTTTTTGTATGAAATTTCCCTGCCATTTGTAATTTGAAATATATTCCAAAAACTTGATATAAAAATACGTAGTAATTCTACTAATTTTCTAAAATATACAGTACATTTCTGCATTTCTTGCTGTGATATAGAGAAAAAATATACTTTTATAACTTATGATCCAAGCCAAACACTTTTAGTCTAAAAAGCTTCAAAACCCAAATGTCAAGGAGGGTGCTAAAAAGTCAGTAGTTCAGCTGTGCTCCACTCACTTGTATATAATTAATACCATTGTGTACCACATGAAGACTTTCATGAATTTGATTACTGCATATTCAATGAGTACCGTTTTAACATTTCTACTTCTCTTTAAAAATCTACTTTTGAGAAATGAAACCATTCCGAATTAGTATCAAAGGGATTATTAGCATATGTATAATCAACACTGGGACAGGTTAAAAGGCCTATATGTTGCTTTTACCTAATGAGTTGATAAGCAAAGGCAGTTCCTTTTCTTTATTGCTGAAATTTCCACAAGATGCATGGATTTTGACCCAATCCTTCCTCAAAGCCTTGTTCTTATCTTTTCTTCCAGGAAAATACCAAATTCCTTTGGTAGCCATCAATGTTCTTCATCTGGTCCTCAAAAAAAGCTGTTGAAGAGTGATAAAATCCCACCCAAGAGTGAAATGCACCTCACTACACATGTAATAACTTTGCTGGCTTATGATTGTACTTACATGACTAAGGACTCCCCATCCTAACTCCTTTTCCCACTGTACAGTTCTTTACCATTCATATAGTCACCCACGTTCATCCTGAGTGATGTTTGAATTGAGAAAGGCTATGGAAAGAGTCTCAAGATGATTCTCAGTGTCACTGTAGAGTTCACTTGAGGAGCTGATGGCAAGATGCACAGCAATTCCTATTTCTTCTGTATCAAAATATCACTTATCTTCAGCCATGAACTGGAGTACTTAATTTCTGAATCAAGATGATTAGCATGCCCAAATCATTTTTTAAATCTTCATGTGTGTAATTCCTCAAAAAAATTGTTGATACATATTGGAAGTAAAGAGCTAGTCTGACATTGTGATATGGCTATTTAATCTGTTCCTTTTCCCCTTTAAAATGATAATTTAAAAAATAGCTTCAGCAGATTGACAAAAATAGAGCAACATCACCTGCAATTGGAAGATTTTTCTGCACCTACACAAGCGAAGATGGGGTACTGCAGCCAGCTAAGTCTACTGTTAAAATATATTCTTCACAATATGTACCAAATAAAAGTAAAACCATAAATATTAATGAAGACTGGAGAGGAAAAGAAAAGATGTTCTGTTGCTTAGTGTTCCAAACATTCAACAAAATCAGCATACTTTAAAAGAAATTAGATGACTTGCCCATTTTTCATCTAAGTTAGACACAGCAAGATGTGATTCTTCCCACACAAGGCTACTGGATCATAAAAATGTACATCATTAATAAAGTAAAGTGGCACTAGGCTTGTAATTTTCAAGGCACAGATAGAAAAGGTATGCTGTTATAATTCATGGAGCATTATAATAGATATATTACCTTAATGTAAGGCTCTGAAATGACTATCTTCATTTTCTGCAGCTGGAAGAAAGTGCACTTTCAGGAAAAAGTTACTTAAGAGTGGTTCCAAGTACATTAATCAGGAACTCTTCTCTGCCTATCACTAAGCATAACATCTTTAAAAGGCAATGTCCAATGTATGCAAAAGTATTTTATGGCCATGTGTGATGGCATCTTATCAAACTGGTGTCATGTATTTATGTTCTCTCTGCACTTCAGCTGTCCACTGCAGGTAGATACAAGACTTCTGTGTGCTGTCTCATCTGGTTGGCAGAAACTGTGAGAGAGTGGCAGCTGTATTGAAGACTCAGGCCCAAAGATCTGCACCTTTTGTAGTACAATGACCAGTAGATGTGCCTCTGGCACTGGCAGTGTTTGGATTTCAAGGTGAATCCTTTTCTCAGACTAGTTCTCCCTCTGTCCTCTGGGAGTTTTAATTATAGCCACAGGAATATTTTTTGATGCCTCAGCTCAGTCCTCCAAAAGCAGTCAAGAAATTGTGTGCTGATGGGAGAAAAATGCCCCAAATACACTCTTCTTCTCATTGCAAATGATCATAGAACAAAACAAAGTTAGTTGATATTCACGCTATAAATGTCTGTGCTACTGTCATACAGTGCAGTATGTGAACAAAATAATAGAAGATGATCTGTCAACAAGCTGCTCTCTTAAGTTGGTAATTATTTTGAATGACATCGTATCACATCTACAATAAATTTAAACAGTATCAGCAAAGTACAACTAAAACAATATCACAGCTAAGATGAACAGCAATAGCTCTCATTCTAGTCAGTACTTTTTGTAATATTTAGTTATTGTTTGGAAGAAAACCACTACACCCAACAGTTTTCACATTAAATATAGGCAAATAGTTTAAATTAAACATATGATATTCCATCATTTTACACAGGAAGTCATATTTATATATTTAGGCATTTAATTTCTTGAATTACGGGACACAATGGAAGTAAAGATATTCCTATATTTTCAAGTTCTCTTTTGATTGGTAAGGGACAGTGGAGGCCCATCTGTTTTGCAGCAAAGAAAGCCCCAAACCATCTGTGTAGAACCACATGCCAGCTAAAACACAGAGATATGCACAGTTTTTTGTTATGAAAAATTTTGCAGTATTTTTTTCCTGTATTAGTGTGAATAAATTAGCAACAACTAAATTAAAGAAATCTTCTGAGAACATACTAACTTCCTAGAGAACACTGGAAAATGTGTCCATTTAGAAGTCATGAAACATTCACTGGCAAAAATTGTTCTTGTGACTATTTATTATGAAGACAGGTAGATCTTTGTGCATTTAATAAAAGCATGTTTATGAGCATTGTAATTGAAGTTAATTTACCTATGAGGTGGTCTTCAGAGAAAAACCTACATAATTGTAACCATGCTTATATGTTGGCCTAATAAGAGCATTTAAAGCTTGAGCCCATATGTTTCTTTTCTGACTTAAAAAAACCCAAAAAAACCCCAAAACAAAACCAAAAAACCAGAAGAGGGTAAACTTACCCAATTTACCCATAATGACTACAGCTTTGGCTAACGTGCATCATCTACCATTTAAATGGGTTTTAAAAGAAAACCGGTATGTGGGGAATAGTCCCTGAAATGAATATAAAGTGAGAAGCAAGTACTTGTCCTCACACAGGCACTGTGTTCTCTGTCCAACAGAGGTAGCACTGTGAGCTCTGCTGATGGCTCATTAATGTTCAATATTTTCTTGACATTAGACCAATCTTAGCCAAGTGGACAGCAGTCATTCTGAGATCTTCTGAAAGTCCATGAAATACTGAAAAACACCAAGCAAAATGCACAAATAAAGAGCCCTATGTAATTTTTTGATCTATTAGTGGTCATACACTAGTAAAACTGCAGGCATTTCTCAGCTGCTTTCAGACCCTAAATAAAATGCTTTTTAAATAGAAAAATAAAATTATGGTTTTACAAAATGATTGGGCTGTTTTTATACAAATGTTCGCTCACCAGTTCGGAACACATGGGAAAGAAAAGATGGTCCCTGGATTTGATCCAGAACATCTTTCAGCTGAAGACAGTTGAGCTATTCTAGTCTAGAACACACAATTTGATCAGCAGAAAGCCTTCGCAAGCGTGTTTTGGAGGAAGATGCATGACGTAAAGAGCAGGCATTTTCTAAGTTAAAAAGGCCATCACATCCTTTTGCTTGCATTCTTGATAACAAGCCAGACCTCCAAAGCTTCTAGCAAATCTTCTAGATTTCGTTAAAACATTAAAATTCTCATGTAGATTTAAACCTTCAGAATTGGACAGTATAAGGACAAGGACAAAGCCCAACAGTTAGTGTTTTCCATCTTTCCAGAAATCTAGATTTTTTTTTCCTAATTCTTTTTATGGATTGGCAAAGATCAGCTTTTGTCAAAGAAACTACTCATTCAGAAGCCATCTCAGAATTTAATTTAGAAGATGCATGATGGGAATTAGACTTTGTCTCTGTACACATAGTTTTCAGACCACTTCTATGAAAGAAAGGCAGCATTTCCAGTGATATAAAGTCTAACATTTACGGTTTTCATGGTTACTGTATTAAAATCCTAGTTTCTGTTAGGAAAAAATCAAATATGATTGTTATGTCTTTATTACTCCATGATGGAGAAATTTATGCTGTCAGGATGATGGTGCCTGAATCTTGATTTTAGAACTGCTTGCTGCACTGTAGCAGTTGTTACACACCTAGTTAAATATTCATGATAATAGGGAATATATAATTATATTGCATGTTGTCAAGAAGAGAAATGTTTGCAAGTATAGAAAACTAGGGTACAAAAACCGTTTTCTAATGGAGAACACTTTGACATGGAATTGTTCTGATGTGTCTGGGGGTAACTCCTCAAAAAATTTAGTCCAGATGACTTGCTTAGATACTTTCGTGGAGAATTTAATCATTTAACAAAATCAACAAGATCCATCTTCTTCTAGGCCATAATGTAGATTGTTTCTAACTGCAGTTCAATGATTGAAAAACCTGTGGCCACACATGCAATTGGGTAAGCAGCACTCAGCAAAAGCATACTGCTCATGTTTGATAGCTGTTTTTCATTCCCACACTTTATCAAAGACTCCAGATTTAAGAAGATGTTGTCTTGCAAAATGGCAATTGCATAATGGTCTCCTTGAAGAATATTTAACTTTTATGCAACTTTTATAGCAAATTTTTTTCTATGTTCACTGGCACAGTGTTTGGATTTGTTCTGCAGTGGTGTGCAGATTTGTATTTCAATAAAAAATGCATTTCTGTAGATTTAAATACTTTACTAAGTGTTTTACTGAATTTTTCTGTTCCATTAATTTAGAAGTCAGAAGTCCAATTGTAATATTATTTTGCTTCAAAAGTAAAGGTTGATTCAGATTGATTAAAGAAACAAACTTATTTTGCGCAATGGCAAATCTTAACAAAGAGAAATTAAGATCCTCAAACCTCCAGTCTGTTAGTATAGTTTAAAAATACTTAAATAACAACAGAAAAAGTATTTTCTTTCTCCACTGACCTGCAAAAACTCATCTCAGATTATATCAACTTTGCATAGAACATGTCCATCAATTTTTTAAAATGTATTTCTTCTGTAGTATTACAAGCACTGTCATACATGAAACGCATTGATTTTATTTATAAAAGGCATAGACTCTCAGTATAGTTTTAGGCCTCAAGTAATCCTTTAGTGTCAGTGTAAGGCAAAGGAAATGTAAAAAATACAAATAATGGTAGCTATGAACATACACCAAGGGCAAAAGCAGATCCAATGGCTCCTACATCCAGGGGCATTAATTTGATAGCTGAGTCCTTGGACAGACACAAAGTCTATAACTTTTTGCAAACAGTGACTCTTGCTATTCTACTCCAGGTGAATTGTCTGTGGATTAAAAGATCAGCAAATGAACCTGAATATTTGCAGTTCTTCATAAGGATATACCAGGAAAGTGATTTCTTTCAGCTAAGAGATACAGCATTATCTTCATGGTTAACACTTTTCATTATGCTATACAAGATAACTTTGTGATCCTATAATTATTTTTACATTCATTATTTTAGAGTGTGTAGAATTTCCCCCCTCTTGCTAAATAATGAGTGACCTGTTTTGAACTATACAAGAGTTTTGAAAGGAGAAACTATTCACACATGAAGGAGTATAGAAAAGCTGTGATTTTCTGCTTGACTTAAAATCAGTTTATGATTCAGTTATAAGAAGGTTAATCAATCTGAACTAAAATGAAAAAGAATACACATAGAAATGCAAAAAGAGATCATTATTTTTTCAGAATAACATATTTATATGCACACAAACTGATGAGATGTTTTCTGTTTATTCCTATCTTGAAAACTCTATAGCTTTATACTTACGATCTTTGATTACCCATAACTGAGGAGCACTGCTTTCAAACGAGACCCTGTTTTGCAATATGGCAGTTCCTAAGACATTCTGACACAAAAACATATGAATTAAATAAAGAATC